CAGGAATCGGTCTGTTATAGGTACACAGTGTCAAATCTTTACTAGTTCAAAGTCAGAGCCGGGTCATATTAAACACTAATTATTTACAGAAAACCGTCTTACCTTGGTTGTGCGGGGTCATACCCCAACCATACACAGCTGTGGGGGACAACAAGAAGAAAAGAAAGGTTAAACGCTTGTTCGTCAAAGTCTTAGAGCAATTAGTGGTTCTCCATTCAAAGTACATTGAACACAGAATACACTGGTAGTGATGATGACATAAACCAAAGGCTGCTTTCCGCACATATTTGTGGTTTGGTAAGGGTTTGTCATTGGGTGGCCAGGGTGGAAATCTACTAGACAGAGCTGTGTCCAAAGAGGTCAAAGGTCGCTGAAAAACAAGGGCTTCCCAGCTAAATATAAAAAATCGCCATAAACTGCCTGCCAAGTGCGGAAAGGAGAAGAAGAAGCAAACAATGACAGGCAGGGTGTAATATTGGTGTCAGATTACATGCCTTGTTGTGAGGGGCCTCCATTGTAATTGGAGCGCTCCGGTTTCAGACTTGGTTAATGAATTGTTAAGATTCATAGAAAGAAGCGGGGTGTGACAGAAAGTCAGGAGGCCGAAGCTCCACCCAAAGGCTAGTAGGACTTGTTTGATGTGAAAGCATTGGTAGGAGGATTCCCAAGTTGTAACATGCCTGCTTCCCAGACCAAACTCATAGAATGTGTTCCACATGCAGTGTTTCCCCTAGGTTTACTGCTTTGGGGGGGTGCTGCCTGAGCGGGGAGGGGGGATATATATTTTTTTAAATCCTCTGGAGCAGAGAGAAGAGCTGTGGATTATTGTTATTGATTAATGCATCAGTGTTTCTTAGGGTCAAACAACTAAACTACACAACTTAAAATAGAAAGTAGTTTAGTTTATTTGATTAAAGAGCACATGTTCAATGTGAAAAGTGACAGTAGATATAGATTAGTTGCAATTTGGTGCTATATATATATATATAGTTTTTTTTTAAACACCTTGAATTTCAGCGCAGCGCCCCTCCAAGACAATGGTAGGGGAAACACTGACATTACAACAAGCTCTGATTTAGATCAATGTATGCAAGATTAATACATGTGGATCTTGGAATAAGACAAACCAAAAAGGCCACAATAATTACAATTGTTATTATTTGAGAGGCAAATGAGGGCCTGATGTGAAAGTGAAAGTAAAGTAAATGTATACCACATGGCCTCCAAAACTGACTTAATGTACTAATATCAAATCAGAGATGAAGGAAGTGAGACATTTGTGTGAGTTATTTTTAACTTTAAATTACCCTAACAAAAGGGGTTTTGACATGGATTTAATTTCACTGTCTCTTTCCTATCCATATGGTAGACATGGATAAATCATATACAGTATATTAACAAAGTCAATATTTTTGGGAGTTTAGGTCATTGATGTTGTTGATTGTTTATCGTGGTATTTAATGTTATTTGGCTTACAGACAAAGGTAAAAATGGAATAAAATAGAAAGAGGGCAGTTTTTAAGTCATCACAGGACACTCTTCACATCAGCATGCTTTTGAGCCACTAAACAGCCTGTTTCTATTTGGGACTTGTACAAAGTATGAAGTGCTGTTTCCATACGTCCATCCACTAAGACTGAGGTGGGCGGTTCTCGAGCAGTGAGGACCATTCATAATAAAATAGATTTTCAGAGGTGGTGAAAGTACTCAGATGTTGTACTTAATTAAAGTTGAAGTACCACAGTGTAGGAACACTCTGTTACAAGTAAAAGTCCTGTATCAAAATGTTACTCAAGTAAAAGTGTACAAAAGTATAAGCATCAAAATATACTTAAAGTAGCAAAAGTTAAAGTAATCATTCCACAGATTGGTCCATTTCAGAATAATATATATGAGATGTTTTGATTATAATTATAATGCCTTAAACTAAGTGTTATTACACCTGATTAAGGTGCAGCTAACTTATAGTACTTTGAAAGGTAGATTTGAATTGTATTCCAGGTGACATAAAGTCTTATTCAAGTGTTGATTTCACATCATTAATCCAAATCTGCAAAGTAAACTATTTACCTCTGGATTGAAGGGAAGTAGAAGTAGCAAAACATTGAAATACTCAAGTAAAGTGCAAGTACCTCAAAACTGTACTTAAGTACAGTACTTCAGTAAATCAACTCAGTTAGTTTACACTGCTGGTTTTTAATTTAAACCAATCGCTACCTAGTGGGTTTATGTTTGCCGAACTGAAGATAATTTATCAACAACGAGAAACAACAACATAGTTTATCACATCTTTCAATAAATAGATAGGTAGGTAGGTAAATATAAATATATAGATATCTGAATGAGGTTTTGTATGTTCAGTCACTGAAGAAATCCATGAGTTGGACACCCGATAGGCCCTTTGGCAGCTCGAGACTGTCAGGTGAGTTAGCTACACACAGAGGAATAAACACACTCAATGTAGCATACTGTTACCAGATGTAGCAGGTATAAGCCATTAAAGCACAGTAATGTCAAACTTCCTACTGTACGGTAGCGTACTATCCGGGAACTGCAGACTCCCAATGTTAGCGCAGACCCAGTGATAGCGGGGCTTTCCCCTGTGCGCAAAACAACTCCCTGTACAGTTTCAGCTCCAGTGTCTAATGTGAGTAAACAGGCCGAGCAGCTTAACCCACTTCCACTCACCGTCCATGGCTGTTTCCGTGTCCGACTCACGCTTCTCCGTCGACACCACTGTTTATCTGTTTGTGTTCTGTTGCTAAAAGACGATGCATACACGACAGTGCCAACTCCATAAACTTCTTGATATTGCTGTTCTGTCGCCTTCCTGGCTCCGCCCACCTCGGTGAACGACAGGTAGTAAAGCTGGACGTTGAGAGGGCGGTATGATAATGCAGGGCTTCCGGTGAGAACAGCGCTGAAAAAAGTCCATATTAACTTCAATATCTGCAAGAACGTGTATTTTACATGAAAAGTCCACTTTACTGTCTTCATCAAAATGTATTGAAGCTATTCGTGAATTGCTGCTATTTCCATCAATGTATCTGAAAAGTTAACAATATTTAATAAGAATTAAATATCTACAAATACATACTTAGTCTTTTTGAAAATTTTATGAGAAAAAGGAAGACAAAATTAATAAATAGGATAAAATATAAATAACTATTAAATAAATAATGAAAATAAAACCCAAATAAGACATTAATAATAAAAAGTTAATAATTAATAAGATTGATAAAAGTCAAAGGATTTAAACACCAACTTTAAAGGGAATTTTGCAAATGAAATGGTAAAATAGATAATACAAGTCGAAACCTATAATAGGCCTACCTATAAAATAGATGTAAGACATGATTAAAACAATATACATAATATTAAAGGTGGGGTATGTAATTTATTTCAGAAACACTTGTTGTTATATTCCATGGAATGCTCTTAACATCCCGAAAGCAATGAATATATTAATATATTAAATGCTTTGACAATAAATACATTAAAAAAAATGTTATCTGTGGAAGCCGTGGCACTGTAAAAAGCACGACCCATTATTTTAGCCGGCCCGGCTAAAATAACTGGATGGCTACTTGCAATTGAGCTGGTTTCTCAATTCTTACCTATCCTACCTTTAAGGTCAAAACAACTAATCACTGATCTTTAATGATCAGTTTAATGAATATTAAAAACAAAGAAGCTAAATTGTACCGTACAATGTCTGTTAAACTGTTAAACTTGATCTTGAGATTGTTGGTTTCTTTGTCAATTGAGGTAATATATCTGATTTAAGTTTTGACGTTATTATTTTTGGACATTGTGCTCAGATTACAGGGACTGTACGTGTTGAGGTTATACGGCTTCTTTTGTTTTGTAAAACATTTATCCTACACTTAGTACTAGGTTAATGTTATTACGACATCCTTACTGGATGCATGTGTTTTTACGTCAATTGACCGTTTTATTCTGAAGAGAAAACCATTCTGTTTCCGGTGTTGTCTCTTGGCTAGCTTGACCCAGTTGCAGCCCTTCGCCTTTTCTCTCTCTGCAGTGCAACTCGCCACCACCCACTCAAAACAGTGCGGAAATACCCAGATGACGCACTTGAAAGGAAACAAAAAAAGAGGTTGTGAGTGGGAGAGGCGAAAACATAACTTCTGGATTTAGTCATAAACTGGAGAGTGTTACACTCTGCTGCTGCTACAATAACATCTATTTCCAGGCCTTGACATTGGCAAAGTAGTGCCATTAAACATGTAAGGCTACTACCTCTGTTTATTAAATAGTATTTGTTGTTTACTTTCATTTGTTCAACAAAAAAGAAATAATTTAATAATCATAAAAACAGTTGATCAATAAACTTAAGAAACACAATTCCCTCTGACCAGAAGAGGGCGCTGTAGGTGAATAAATCAATGGTTTCATTGACAGCACTGTGCATTATTCCCCTCATACAACATGTCTCTTGTTTATTAGTTTGTCCACACGTTTCATGGGTCGAAAAAAGCGTCTCATAATTACCAATATTATCTGAGTCAGTTGAGCATTACCCTACAAGTTACCAGAAACGAAAGACACTTGAATATTAAACTCTAAAAGGGTACTCACTAAAGCGCACTAAAGTTTTCAGCTTAGCTTATTACATTTATATTTTTTAAAACATTATTGTATTACTTTTTTATTCGTATTACATTGTAATATCACAGTGACCTGTTGCGAAGGCACTGGATATATTGATGCCTTCATCTACTGTCGGAAATCCCAATGAAAAGTTAAAAAAAACAATACAACAACATTCAGTTAGGCAACTGTTGGAAAGTGGGAATTGCCATTAAACATACGAATTATGTGTCAATATTGAATTTTACAATAATATGCTTGAAAGAACTTGAACGATTAATTAAAAGCTCTCCACTTTATTTTTTAAGGTAGAAAATAGAGTATCCAAGGCACATTGAATGTAGCACAATAGTCCTAAACGGGAGGCCTGAGTGGGAGGCGTGGCCTGCCCTGCCCCTCTGCCTGCTCCACACTGCGGCGGGCAGAGCTGTTAGCTACAGAAATGGCGGAGGGGGAGTTGGACGTCGACTCGCTGATTTCCAGGCTCTTGGAGGGTGAGTTATCAATCATACTATATTCATATCTACCAGTTGTTGACGACTTTAGTGCTCGAGTATTGTTCGGGTTTAGTTTCGACACGAGTCGACAGAAAAACGGAACGCTCTGGAGTATCCCGCTGGAGGAGTAAACAGGACTAGTTAAGAAATAATAACCAGAACGTGATACTTTTAATACATTAAGTTGAGTGTTGGTTAACTATTGAATAGTTATAAAGTTATAGTTCCAGGTCAGGTCGAGTATTGGAGAAAAAAAGAACTAACTAAATTATGTTAGCCTTTATTAATGTTGCAATACTTATTTTACACTCGTATTACTTTGACATGCAGCATAAAAACATAGCTTAGATTCTTAGAAGCTTCTACTAAAATATCCTGGCTCTACTTGTATTTCCACAAGCTTTTCACAACAATATACACTGTGGTGGGCGGGAGCCTGCAATGGATATCTGTACTTTAAGTTGAGTGTTTTTTTTAACACAAACTGCAGCTTGGTAAATAAAGTATGCCGAAACTTCCAGCACAATTGCATGTTTTCTAAAGATACTTAACATATTGGCTTTACTATGTATATATATTGTTTGCCGCAGTCATAAGTAAAAATGTCAAGTTTCAAATGGGATTTGGCTGGAGGGTTTGTCAGCTGTAAAGAATGCACGTCACAGGGCTGTGGTGTTTATATGGGAATGTTGCTGAATGGCAATGTTTACACAAGGATTTGATGATATTCCATTATAAATAGACCTTCAGAGTGTGTACCCTGTAAGCATTACAACATGAACTTAGTCTGTGACTCCAAGTATTTTGTAATCCCAATGCCTATTTTTTGAAAGTTTCACATGCGAACATAACACTGTCTTAAACAGTTTCTGTTAAACACACAAGAGTATGTATTAAGCTGTTATCCTTCACATGTTTTAACATGAATGCAGCAGATTATCCCAAGCCTTATCTTCCTGAATTAAAAGATAATAAAATAAAAGCTTTTCCAGATTAGCTGTGAATGACAATAAGTGCCTCTAATGAGTTGCTGTCTCCTTGGGTGGGACAGTTAGTATTGTATGAGACCGCACTAAAGTAACTTCAGTACTTTCGAAGAAAGCATTGTTGCTCCTACAACACTGCTATGTGTTGGGTGTCAGTGGATTCTTAGCATCAACAATGCCCCTTTCACACCAACCCGGTTCCAGAGCCGGTTCGGAGCTAGAGCCTGATAAGCACCGTTTTTTCCTGTTCACACGGCAGCGGAGCCGGCTCTTTCCCCCGAAAACCGGTTCTTGCTAGGGATGCCAGAAACTGACCATGATCAAATTCGAAAATCGGAAAGCCCTGGCGAATATTAATCGATTATTCTTTCGTTTTGTTTTGTATTATAGCAGCTATCGGATGGAATCAATACATGGGCTGTACAGGTTGTCATGTCTGACTATCACAAGTAGAATCATAAAGAAAAATACGCCGGTAAAATGTGCCTGTAGAAAACGGCTTATGCCACAATAGGAAAGCAACAAGTAGTCAAGATAGTCAGTTTAGCATCGGTTGCTATGCAAACATCACCCATTTTATACCAAAGAAACTTTCAAAGCAGCTTTGTGATGCCAAACCGCGGGCAGCACTGCAGCGGTCAGTAAATGCCGCTGAAACACATTAATAAACAATGAACCACTGCACTCACACAGAAGTTATTTAATGTAATCTGGCTTCGTATGATTAAAAGCAACACAATCATCGACCCGAAGCAGTCCCCCATTGTTGTTGTTGTGAGCAGCGTTGGGGAGAAACGTGATCCGACGTAAACGTTGACGTCATGACGCAGCCGCAGGAGCACCAGTCGGGCTCTGGGCGGTGTGAACAAAACGGGGGCTGAAAAGAAGAACCGGTTCCGAACTAGAAGAGCGCAAGCACAGAGCTAGAACCGCGTTGGTGTGAAAGGGCTAAGGGATCCTGTATATTGAAATCCGTCTCACTGTCCTCTCGCCTTTTGTTCTCGACAGAACACAGAGACAGTGTCCCTCTGTGTCAGGGGCGGCGGGTACTGTAGGCTAGGGAAGGCTAAGCCTTCCCAAATATTTTTGTCACTGCATCCTGGTAAAATAAAAATATAATGTTTGTGTCTTTGACATTAGCGCTGCTATGCAGCCACTTGTGCCCTGTGCACTACGAAGCCAGTTCAACATACCCTGGATATGTTTGAGTTATCTTAACTAACCCTAACAAACGAGATCTCGCTAAGCGTTCCTATGACGCTGGTTATCAACTAGGTAAATCAAGCCATGGTTTCTCTCTCCAGCTGAGCGCACGTTCACGTGAAAGGGGCGGGGTTAGCTACATTTGACCAATCACAAACAGAGACTAGTCTACTGACAGTGCAGCGTCATACTTCATTAATGAAAAGTAAACTAATATTAGACAAATATGAACTTTAAACATCCATGATGTAAACATATAATCCAGGATACAAGCCACATAGTTGCATCTGCAAGGTGAATATAGAACAACTGGTTAAAACATAACTACAGAGTAGACTATTTTTGCTTTCAACTAACCTAATACATTTATGTGAAATATGTTACATTATTACATTACATTACATGTTACTTGTTAGACGCTTTTATCCAAAGTGACTTACATACTCAATACTGTGGACAATCCCCACAGGAGCAATTTGGGGTGAAGTGTCTCAGGGACACAACGACAGGTTTGAACCTGTGACCCCCTGATCCCAAAACCAAGGCTCTATCCACAGCGCCACACGCCTCCCGTGCACTACAGATTCTGAAAACCACACACACATGCTGGCAGATACAAATGAAATGAACAATGTGGATCAGTACCACCTAATCATCTTGATTGATTTGGACTGACTGATTACATAATAGTGTTTGTTGTGTGTCAGCTGTACATTAACTGCAATGTGAGCCTGTGTTGTCAGCTGGGAAAGGCTATACTGTAGCTAGTTTGCTGCATTTGCTTTTTTTGCAGCAACTAGGAAACCTCAGTAGAGGAAATTGGAGGGATCTGGCCCTAAAGGCTTCCAGATGTGAGCTGAGAATATATCCAACATCCATCTTCTTTCAGTCACTTTCTCTTTCCGTCTAAAGCAGCAATATGTGAAGGCTAACTCAAATAAAAGGTTGTAGTGGCAAAAAGCAAAATCTGTGCTGGAGAGTTTGACCGCAAAATGTTTTCATTTTTATAAGCAGATTATATATTTTCCATTCTTTTGAATTCGCCTTGTTGTCTATAGGATCTCAGGAAGCAGTAAAAAATGGCTGCACACTTTACAAAATCTCAAGTTGACATGTTCAACAGGTTTCTCACATTAGACAAGTGTACAAAACAAAGCCAAACTAATCATGTCCAACACTAGGAGACCACACAGGCAGAAGTACTGTTAAACTGTCCGCCGTTTATCAGTTTGTCTTCCTAAGGGTTTTTTTTTTTTTAAATTGACCTTTCAACAACACACTGTCTCACAGACACTGATGAAATCCTTTATATCTTTTAAACAGATTACATCTACAGCCTGCTTTTCATTAAGACCTTTACTAAATGTATTTCTTCTGGCACTCAGTTCAAGGAGCTCAGAAGGTTCCCCTTATCCACTTTAATAGGAGGTTGATCCCCCACTTTTTCCTCTGGTGCCAGTTGGGATACACACACACACACATACACAAACAGACAGACAGACAGACAGACAGACAGACAGACAGAGCTCTCTGATCTCCTATTACTATGTCAACAGGAACAGCTGCCCCTGGTAGAAATTAACTTACCCTTTTGGTGACACACACAGGGGGAGAGTGTAAAAAGCCGCAATACAGTAGAATTGACTAATCCTCTCCTGCAATGTTTATTCATTTTGAACATTGATGAGGTAAAGAAGTATTTAAGCCTTATTGAAAACAAATACAAATAATTAAACTTCCATACAATTCCATCAAACATGTTTATGATATATGCTCACATAGGCGTGACAATAGTGTCTTAAATTAAATAAGAATCTAAAGACATGCTAGCAGCTGAGTTAGCTTTGGGTTTTAGCTAAATGCTATTGTCGGCAAGCTAATTTGCCTGCTGCACAAGTAATGTTGACCAGCATTTAAATCTAGGATGCTAGCAAGCTAAAATTAGGGAATTAGCACTAAACCCTTAGCAAATTATAATAATTTCAATGTCATTATTTTTTCTTGCTTTTACAGGATATGTGGTCATAAACTCAAGTATCGATTGAATTGGAGTAATGTATGGACAATGTATGTCCTCCATCAGATGTTTAATAGGGGTTGTCAGGCGTATAGCTGACAGGCTAACCCTGATCATCTGACAACATGGTTTAGAATGAGTGACCGCACAGTGAAGCTTTCTGGCCTCTCTGGTTTCATTCGTCACTCTGAATACAATGACTTAGCACCTGCTGTTTTATGACCAGGCTAGTGAGTCACAGTTGAAAGGTGAGCAACACAATGGTGTATGGATTAATTTACCATCACCATTTGTCTGTATTTAATAAAATGGCATTCATATGTGTGTGTGTTTCTGTCTGTATGTGGATATCATGCAGTCAGTGTGGCCACACTTGTTCAGTCATGTCACTGGTACCCATTCCTCTCATGCCATAGTCATCAAATTAGAGTGGAATTAATCCATTTGGTTTATTTTGTATTTAAATTGGCCAGTTATCGCAGACCGGATTAAAAAAATATATTTCCTATGGTGTGTGTATGAGGGATCAGAGCTGGAAATTATTTCTTATTGGTCAGAAATATGGCATGGAAAATGTAAAAACAATGCTTTTTTTTAGCATCGACCTGAAAACACAAAACGAGCACCATGGAGCCTAACGTTTGTTGATCTTGACAGTATTCCTGCTTTGGCGTTTCTTGCAAAACAGATGCCGAGATGTCAAACAAACATCGGACTTTTGGCGAAGTTCCACTCACTGCTTACCTGTTGTTTACTGGTTTCATGTCAACCAATTTGGGCGCAAGGAGCCC